TCAATAATAATCAACAGCTGGAAAATGAACCGAATTTATTTTTTAAATTTTATAAGAAGGGCATAGTAACCCGTTAGGAAAATGTTTTAGACGCCGATGGAGACTATTTCACCGAATAAAATATTTCTAAACTAATTTTAATTGTAACACTTATTAAACCCTTTAAACCCCTCACGAACATTACATTATCTGGCATTATTAATAATTTGCAGTGTTAATCACAATTCCGATACAGAATAGACTGGGACCATTCCATCCCGTTCCAGTGTCAAATCATAAACGTTTGAAACCGTAAGTTTCAATATTGTGTATAGATGTTCATATTGGTTAACGTTGTAAATTATTATTGATAGTCCTGATGAAAGGAATATATCCTATGAAAGATTGAAGAAGGACAGTGTGTTTTATATATATTTTGATGATTTTTTAACACCACATTTAAAATAAAATCTTGCTTATTCACGTTGCTGGACGGATCGATCTGTTTACGTTTAAACCTGTTACACGAGTTGCTTTTTTCATTTTTTGTTTTTATCATTGTATAAGAAAAGCTCTATCTAAAGGGCAGTTATGGGGAAAAAATGAAAGCGATTACAACGTTGATGTGACATGAGACGATAGAGAGTGGCCAATGGGAAAGGGGGCGGAAGGCCAAACCGAGGATATATGATTGAGTTGTCGACTGTTTGATGTCGAGGGAAAAACACTGGTTCAAATCTCGAAGACACCCTTCGGCGAGACAAGAAATATAAAAATCTATAGAAGAAGAATAAGGAAGAGGGCAAAAAGAGTGAAGGAAGAGAGAGCGTATGTGCGAAGGAGAAGGACGGAAGAGAAAGGATCAATGCTTCGGCAGATTGAATCAGGGATGAAAAGCGCCACCCTGACTTAGACCACCTTTACATAAATAGATATATGCTGTCGTTATTTCTTTTCCAGGCTTTGCCCACAGATTGGATAAGATTCGCCAATTTCACCTCCCTTGTCTTTATTTCTTAGTCCTTTTTATTAGTACTACAAACAGGATGACGTAAACTTGGGTCGTCACCTCGCCACTTTTATCTTTATTGTTAAAACGAACAATCTCCGTTGTCAAATTAGAAAACCCCTTCAAAAACATTAACTGAGCTTGATTTCTTCTTTTTATCCAGTTTCGTCTGTACAAATTTAAACCGATCGTCTTCGCAGGACGATATGCTAAACCTTAAGCGTAAACATACAACAACCATGGAATTAACTCAATTAATACCTTAAACAGTAGTAAATGTATATGGTGTCCTTTTCCATAAGGACTAGACAATTCCCAAAATTTGGCTTGCATTCCGAACCGATGTTTGGGACGGTCAATAAAATACATGAGATTTGCTCATCCATTAGCTTCGGTTCTGAAAGGTCGATTTTCTTCTAAGCTGTCAGGTGTTACACACATTACCACTCTTTTGAAACTGCCTCACAAGTCTTATCAGGGTTCGATGGCAAGATTGGTACCGAACAGGAAACCGTCGCCCATAAAGCGCTACTTATCAGGGTTGCTTTCTACAAAAATCTCCAACATATCACCTTTTTCTGTTTCGTAGCAAACGTCCAAGCCAATAAAACAACTGAAAGGTTCTAAATTCTTTATTGATTTTTCACAATAAACAAGTTTTCGGCATTTTTACTTAGGCACACGATGCAAGTAAACAACCAGGAAAAAGAGAATTATCAAAGCAATAAATTGTTTACCAACGCCTCCTCTTTTAAATTGAACTAATTTGTGTAGCCCCCATAGGTGTCCAATTATTTTTTGAATTTTTCTCTTCGTTTCGTTTTTCAACTCCGCTATTAGCTTCAGTGCAAAAAAAAGAAAAGTAAAAGTAAAAAAAATCAATCCCTTGTATTATTATTAAATTTATTAACATACTTATTAATTATTAATTACTTATTAAAACTTATTAAAAAATTGTATCTCAGGAAATCCTTGACCGATTTCAATGAGAAAAAAAATCATTTTTCATACAAAATGACGTACTTTACAAATATGCGGCAAAAACTTAGGGTTGAGTTTGAAAAAAAAAGTTCATCGTGTATAAGTGCAGTAGAAGATTGTTTTTTCTTTAAATAAAAATAGACACCTTACAAAAAATAAAGGTTACCATTTTACCTTTTTTCTATACCTTATTTTGTTCATAATAAAAGTGGTTGATCCGAATGAAAAGGGACACACTATATACAATTAAATAAATGAAGGACTTGCAAATGACACGATACAAGACAGGTGGTGACCGATTGCAGAAAGGAATGTGCAAGAATTGTGAAGTACATGGAGAGACAATTTATCTTGGTCATAACTTTTAATGAAAAAACATCAAAAAACATACAGCTTACAACGACTCGAAGAAAGTTAGACATAGCTCATGGGAACTCAAATAAATATTCAAGTCCTGGACAGATTGTGTTACCCTGTACTCAGATCTCTTTCATGCAAATTCAAACAGCATTTAAACATTTAAATAAATTACGAACCAAACTGAACGATGTCAGACACGTCTAACTTCTTTTTTTTTTAAGTAAAATATCACACAGGCTAATTAACTGTCGAATAGAAGTGGCCAGAAAGAGAGTTTCATAACGAAGAAGGTATATCACGAAAGGATGGATAATATTTTATTTATTATGTTGTTTTCAGATAATAGGTTCATTGTTTGTCTTTTAGACTCAGTTAAAATTTAGTTTACCAGTCAAATAAACTCGTTCAGTGTGGCTATAAAAGTGTTTTCTTTATTTGGAAAACGCAAAAGCTCTGGTCGTCTTTTACCCGTTAATGATGACCATATCCAAGCTGTTTTGCACAAATAACCCATACTCAAAGACACTTAACATATCATATACCAGCGTTTCAACGGATCTGAGATATATTATATGGATTCCTAACTTTTTTTAAATAATGATCGGTCGAAAAGTATTTGTAACATACGTTAGATGAATGACAAGTTACAAAGCCCAAAAGTCGTTTCAAGTAAAATAGGCAGAAGAAAATAAATAGGATTCCCTTTAAGTAGCCTGCAAAATAGGCCATTTTTCGGCTTGGACTGTCGTAGTAAACGACACACCCGGTGAACTCTCGTCACTGACTAAACTAATAAAGTAATAATACAAAAAAATAATCTCTCTCCCTCTCTCTCTCCGTCTCTCTCTCCCTCTCTCTCTCTCTCACTCCCTCTCTCTCTCCGTTTCTCTCTCTCTCTCTCTCTCTCTCTCTCTCTCTCTNCTCTCTCGTTCTTTCTCTCTCTCCATCTCTCTTGGATGTACAGTTGCATTTAAACATTAATCTCTTCCGAATTTTATACAAGTATATAAGTATAAGTAAGAAAAATAAGGATGAAAGCAATAAAAACTCATCAAACGTTTAATTTTTTATCTCCTGTTAGAATTTATTTACGACCTTGCATGTACATTATAGAGTCCTAAATCCAAATAAAGTTTTCTGCGATTCGGTGGTGCTGTTTCACCACTATATCGCTATTTTTGTGACGAAAATTTAGGAAAATATTGTCCCAAAAATTTGTGTGTAATTGCGGTGCAGAAAACTAAAATCAACTTGTTTTCTTGCTGAAAAAACATTGTAATTAATTTAATAAGTTACTCGGTCAGAAATTAGTATTATATTTCAACAGGTAGCTCGAATTTGTCTGTCCCGGCGATGGATTTTTTTCCAGTTTGTGCAAAGTAACTTAAAATATATTTTTAGGAAGAAACAAAGTTGACATTCGTTTTTTTACTTTCTCAAAATTCCTTTTCTTAAAGTAACTTAATACCTTGATATACATGCACGACGAAGATCGCAAAACCCTTATTTAAATTTGTGTGGTATTTACAGCCCGTTAATTAATGATTATTTAAATTACTTAATTTTGTTCTCGGCTCCTAGGGCACTTGGCAAGAACGGTGGGACACGTGTCTAATATTTTTCGACCTAGTATCACAAAAAAAATTTAATAAAATTCTGCGAGCTCACAACAAAAAGAATGTGTGGAAAGAATTATTGGAACGCATCTCAATCTGCGATTCCCTTATCAAACCTAATGTAAATGACCCATGTTTAAATAGATAAACTATTGGAGACGAAAAATGGGTCCATAATGTTCAGAGAGGAAAATCCTGGGGAAAACGCAGTGAACCACCGTTGACAACTTCTAAAAAATTACATCTCAAGAAGGTAATACAGCCCTTTTCGGGGGATTTGACGGGTGTGTTTAATTATAAGCTTCGTCCGCCTAACGAAACCGTTAATTCTACAGTTTACTACAAACAATTGGAGCGATCAAACTCAGCAAATCCAAAAACGGCCTCATGTCCAGAATTTGTTAAATTTTGGCTGGGATGTGCTACCCCACCCAGCATAATCGCCTGCCATTAACCCTTCAGATTTTCACTTTTTCCCGTCTCTGCTAATCTGTAAATATGAAAATTTTTTACGACACTTGAAGATTTGCGAAAACTCCATCGCAAGTTCATCGCACATAAACCTGAGGAATTTTTAGAAGATTTGCTAAGGGAATGGTAACGGGTAACAGAGAGTGGGGAAAAATGTTTCATATATTATTTATTAAATTTGTTCACACGGAGCTGAAATTTTCATTTAATTTACTATTAACACAATCTACGGGCTTGTTTAAGCGTATTTAATTTCAAATCTGACACCATATTCTATTAATGTGTGGAATTATTTAACAATAAAAAAATCATTTTAATATCAAAAAGTCAAACTTGTACATTTCGTTGTGATATTTATTTATAATTAAATGTTTTCTGATCGATTTCATGATGTTTACCAAAATCAGGGTTGTTCTCTCGGGGGATTGAAGCAACATTTTTACATGTCATGTTTATTGGAATATAACGATATATTTTTCAGATTCACTCAAACTTTCAACAGCACATAATGTGCACTCCTTTTTTCAGTATTTGCTCAACTTTTAACCTTGTGACATGGTAAGTAATTTTTCTTTTTTTTCCAGGAGCAGACACTCCTATTCGACATTTATCACTTAGGAGTCTGATGCCTGATACGGAACATTACATGACCTACGAAGGTTCGACAACGCACCCTGGATGTTGGGAAACGACCGTTTGGATTATTCTCAATAAGCCCATATACATCACGAAACAAGAAGTAAGTTTGTTTTTTTTAAGTCAGAAAAGAGAAAGTGTCTCGATTCTTAAATATAATGTGAATTAAAACCCCACTCATAAAGAAATGATCCTAGAGCCTTATTGCATTCTAACGACTGGAATGGGGTTGGTGACAGTCATAACAGAGCCCCATGATAACAATAAATGTTCATGGACGAAAATCTTGCATGACACCCTTCCCCTAATGGGATAGGGTTTCCTTCAAAAAAATGATACCCATTTCCGCCCTGTCGCGCCGTTGCTTTGATTATTTTTCGTATTGCGCGTTTTATATTAGTTATAGTCGCATTGGAATGGCAAATTTCAAAGAACGGGTTAGACATAACCGACAATGAGGGAGAAGATATTTTTTAAGGTGCTGAAACACTTTTCTTCTATTAACAAATAATTACAATTAATTAAGGTTTTTAGTTGAGATGAAAAAGTCAATGGCACGAGCGGGATTCGAAACCACGATCTTCGGCTTGATACGCCGCTGCTCTACCACTTGAGCTATCGTGACGTCGATCCACTCGGGCATAACTTCCTATCTCAACCCCACCTTTTGAGTTTTCCCTGCTTTTTGCCATTTTTCAAATGTTGTGTAATCGGATTGGATTCTCGGCGACAAATGAAATGGCCACGGAGAGCTTTAGTGAAGTATACTTCATTTTAATTCATTAAATTCACTAATTTCGTGGTCCGCTTGACCAATATATTACAATTAATTAAGGTTTTTAGTTGAGATAAAAATGGCAAAAAGGAGGGAAAACTCAAAAGGTGGGGTTGAGATAGGAAGTTGATGTCCTAATTAATTGTAATATATTAAATAATTGGTCAAGCGGACCACGAAATTAGTGAATTTAACAAATAATTTTGTATTTGTATTTAAAAACTTTATTGAGTTTTATATTTTTTATACAGAAAAAAGTAAAGACAAAGAGTTTGGCAAAATCAACAAAAATATATTAAAATTAACAAAATCCTTGCTTCACACGAGGCGAGATTCTTGGTGCATAAGTGTCAGGTCTTGAGATTCTTCTACCAGATTTATCAACCCCCTTTTCATGCAAATCTAATAATTATCTCCATTCGGCAACGAGTACTCAGATATTAAAACAATACAAGCCGGGATCCCGCAAGGAAGCATTCTTGTTCCAATCCTGTTTACCATAAACTAAGTTCTTCATATCCACTCTTTATTCCTTATCCTGGAATCTTATTCAATTGACTGAGGTGCGGTAACAATTATTCAGGTAACAGACCAGTACAAGTAGGCATCCCACAAGTTGAGCGATCTTGGTTCTTTCGACTTTACTATACATCCATCCAAGCAGCGACATTTATCACTATGAGGTATCGTTCTTGCTGGTACTTGTCAAAAATATCAAATCTATACCCTTCACACAACACAATGTATCATTTAGCTTCAATTAGGAATAAATGGTAAAAAGATGTGATCCCAACCCCTTCAATTATTTATGCGGATGACACAGCAATTTTGTCTTCTAACCCAAATCCAATCCAAGCTTCCTCCAACATCCAAAAATACGTTGATGTGCATGAACTCATAATAAAGTGAAATAATTTATATGACCTGGTCGTTTCTGATCATTTTGGTATGTCTAACCTTGCTGTTTTAGTATTTCAGACGCGTTGTGGCTTCTCGCCGTTGTATGTGGTCGATTATTGTGGCCAGTCGTGTCCTTATTATATATGAATCTGGTGTGCATTTGATTGTCTGGTCTTGGAGATGGTCCGGCATGTAGGCATCCTCTATAAATTTAAAATCTTCCTACCCACTCTTTATTACCTTCCAATTATGTAATTTATGCTTAATTGATGCTTCAAAGTGAGGAAACAAGATATTAAGCCAGTTCGCAAGGGATTAATTGTCTTAAACATTGTTTATGATGTGATTGTTTATTTATAATCAATCGATTATACTCATTTTTCAAACATAATGTGTACAAATATATTAGATAATTAGTTATATAATTAAATTTAGGGGGACCGCGGTAGCCGAGTGGTTAGCGTGATAGCTATTAGGCTAATATGCCATATCATAAGGTCATTAAAAACATTACTGCGGCTCGTTGACCCGGCGGTCTTGGTTCAAAACCCACCGCCCTCCCTGCAATTTCTGACTCCGCCCTCTTCTCACAAAAAAAAAAGGTTCCGTTCATTAATCACACGTATTTTACCTAATATTGGAAACGTATGACCATTTTACAAAAAAATATATGAAATCAAGCCAATCTCATGCAAATAATCGTCAATTTGCATTGGTATATAGTTTTTATTATAAAAAATTATTATTGTTCTCACATATAAATCGATAAATTATAATATAAATATTCTTGTCTTGATACTACAATGGATATGTAACTTGTTTTTTAATATATATGACGAATGATGCTCAACAATTCGTGTTATAGATTAAACAAAAAAAAACAAGGTACCATACATTCATTACTGCTTGTCTACAACTATAATTAAATTGCTTTTAATTGAAATGGGATCGTAGCTGGTCCCCAAGGATTGAGGAATTATCGCCGGTAAATAAACGTTTACATTGAGACACCCTGTTATATTGAAATCCGTTTAATGCCCCTGACATGAAGCTGGAATGGATGATAACCGTTGAAATATCGTTCAATTTCAAAGCAACATCACACAATTCCCACTCTTGTCTTTTTACCAATTTATCAAGAGATAAATAATTAAGTTTTATTGCAATTTTTTCCAGACATTATTTATTGGCCTATTTTATAAATATTAACGATATTGAATCAAGTTTATATATAAAAAAAGAGATTAGTTTAAACTATTAATTTTTTGAAGCCAATAAACATCTACAAGATAGCTGTGAAGGGGTAAATTCTGTGTGTGGTAAATTATGTGAGAGAACGGACAGCCGGGATCTGAGCGTGAACATCAGTCGGTCTGCTGTCATTTTCACGCCTTTTATTAAAGTAACCTGACTGTTTAGGCGGTGTAGCCGCATATCAAACAGAGCCGAGTTTAACGAGCCTGGACAACGGTCAAAGTGAGTCACTTTTGTATTTTTAACTGTAAGTGAAACTACAAACAAATAGAACCTTTGCCGTTAAAGCAAATATTCCCCCTACCTCTAGTCCGATCGTTTCATTCCAGCATAAATTATTGAGACGAGAATAACATATATATAACAAAATTAGTGGAAATGCCTTGCGTTTGAAAAACGGAAGAAAATTTAAAAGTATAGTAATGATGATGGCCGTATAGCGTGATACCTTTACAATTTTTTTTACATCTGCTGTTTTCTCCCTTGTGACACCATCCCTTTTTACCTGACTGCTTCCGTCTACACAAACACCAATTTAATCTAATACAACGAATTCCGTTAATGCAATGGGTTATTTTTGAATATATAAAGACGACGAATTCTGTCGCATCCACATTTCCTTGAATTTAAGTCCAGGTTATTATTTTTAGTTTTTATTGTCAATTCACTACACTTATAGGTCATACATTGAATCCATTCCTTACAGAGTAATTTAAAAATTGGCTTCAATTGTAAAAATTGGCACATAAATCCATAAAATTAAATAGGCAAAAAACAATTCCAATCGGTGTTGCGGGTACTGTATCAATAACGCCGTCCTCTTAATTAAAAAGCCTTGTGTGTGCATTTCTAAAATAATAATTATTATATAATATACTACATATATTCTGTATTTGTCCTTTCTTTTGTTTATTTTAAATTTTGATAGAACAAATTTTCTTAGTTGTCTATGTCGAAAATTATATTATTATAAAAAGGTGGAGTAAAACTTTGAGGTGTGGTTTCTGACTGGAACCTTGTTTGATCTAAAGATGACGGATGAATTCCCTTGTCTCGTCAGTCGCCCTGCACCCGTACCGGCCAAACCTAGCGCCCTGACTTCAGCAGACAGACCTATGCCTGAAATTTCCCGGCAAAATTTACACGTTCTAGACTTTTAACTTTTTGAAAAATCAATAATGGTCAAACGGTTATTCTATTTGTTCAATTCCATAGAGAATATTCCATATTTAGATGTTTTTCGTCAATTGGATATCCTAAGTAGTTAGGTCCATTTGCATTGTAAGTAAATATGGGGATTTGCATCAAATTTTAGACTTGGCAACCGATTTTTTTAGGTTCAGGTGGGAAATGATGTGTCTGATAATAATGATGAGCAGGTTGATACTAGGAGGCGAGGGTTTGGTAATCCACAAGCACTGCAGCCTTTTAGTTTATCATATTTTCCTAGTTCCTTAATTCGCTTTAATTGAATTAATCCTTCTTTTAAAAAGTAAAATGTTATTAACTGTTATTGCTGCAATTTTTTTACAGGATTTTCTCGGTACCCTGGATTATGTCAGCATAGGGCGGTGCATTCGAAGATATGTGGGTGGCAATTTTTCTCTTTTTTGCACAATTACTATTGAGGTTATCATTGATTATACCCATGTTGTGTAGGTGTTTTCTCAGATGCCAGTGACCTATTACTCACCTGTGTTATGTGCTGGTTTTAACGAAGATTTTTTTGAAACATGAGTTTAAGTCTAGCACCTCAAGAGTTCGTTAATTTTTGATTTTGTTTTGTGCCGAGCCATTGTCAAATGGAGGAGTCTATTTAATCTTGTCATCCCATTTATAGGTTATTGTAGGCCCTCCTCTGCCAGTTTGCTTGTGCATTACCAACAATTTTGACCAAATGTTTTGAACATTTTGGTGGCATTCACCGACCATTTTGGATTTTACTTAACATGATGCTTGACTTATGAGGATTGATAAGTGTAACCTCTTTACAATTGTCGGACAGAAGAAGTCTGACTGCGGGAGTGCCTCAGGGCTTAATCTCGGTTCACTCCTTTTTACTACATTTATCAAAGCCATCATGCCCATATGTACCAGATGTGTTTCGCATTTGAGTCCGTTTGATTTCCTTCAAATGAGGCTCTTAATAATTGAAGAATTTTTTCTTGTTCTGTTCAGTCTTTATGAACGTCTATTTAATTTTGTAAACCTCATCTTGGAACAAATAAATCGCCTGACGTAGACCCTGCTCAAACAGCTAAAGTATTTTCTTTGCTAAACATTAATGTAGACAAAACACTGGCAATGTTATTCACTACAAGATAACCAATGCTGCAACAGACAGTCAGACGTAGAATGTTGAACTGAAAAAATCTTAATAAAACAACTATACAACTAAACTCTCCGTTTACAACTTTATATCCAACCCAACATCACATTCCAAATTTCCAACCCCACCTACACGACGTCAATATTCCATTCGAAAATAAATCGAAAGATCTAGCTACAAAAAATATCACACTAACCTCCAATCCCACTGTAATCCTCACGTACAACAAATTTCCACTCGATCTCTTCCCAAAAATCCTAACGTCTCAAAAATTGAGAATAAAATTATTTAATGATTTAAGAGTGCTACCTCTGGATAACTTCTCCATTCGATATAAACTTACTGAAATTAAATAAAAACATTTAAGTTTTGAATTTCATATTTTACCTTCTTCTAATTTTGTAAAACCGCTTATTTATTTTTGTTTTTTTAGCTTTACGCTCTAAGGAAGTTGATGCAAGGATCGGAAAAGATACCGAAAGCTCCTCTTGGAAACAACGCCCGTCCTCTTCAGCCCCTCCATCATCGCACTGTCCGAACCAACATTGACTTCCAGAACACCCAATCTTCATCAGTAAGTAATTTTCGTGCTCTATGGAAATTTTTAATGCTGAAAACTAAACAAAAGGTGATTTGACAAGCCGGAGTAATTTATAAATTAATATCATCGAATTACATGATATACATTTGGCACGATGCTTCGGCTCGGAGGTCACACCCAATTTAGAAATACAATGGTTGTTTACGTGACAGCCTTCCATTTCCAAATCTTTCCACGTGCAGAACACAATTATTGTATTTTAGGCAAACTCATACAAATAAATTGGTGGGGGTGGGAAAGCTTTTTGTAAACGTTTTTAATTGGCATTCTATATTCCTCTTACTGAAGTCGAATGTGAAAGAAAACTTCAAAACCTTTGCCACTAAATTGCTCATAATTCTCTCATTAAAGTAAATATTAGAATCATTCGGGGACAACTGACAGTGAATTTTATGAAAAATTAAAATAAGTAATGAAGAAATAATCCATTAATCGAGACTACCCATTTTACTTTCTATTCAAACAGATATTACAAGAAAAGCTCATAACTTTCTATTGTGAATGTTACTTTAAGGACCTCTACGAAAGCCTGTATTATAAGGCTACCCTTCCGTTGGGTCCCACGACATGTGGGAATAAATGGCAACGAGAGAGCGGACTCCTTTATAAGGAAAGGGGTTGCTAAAGGGCAATAGGTCCTGATTCACACTATCAATGAGTATCTTAGACAAAAGGACGAATTGAAAATGAGGAAAAATTCTTTGGGAGGAAAGAAACAACAGAATTCTTATGTAAAAAAAGGAAAAGGAAAAACTCCGAATTCTGGCGGGATTATCAACAGTACACTGCGGGCTGATTGTGTATTTGAAGAAGATCGGTAAAATTGAACACGGCACGTGCAGATTCTGCATAGAAGCAGAGGAGACACCAACACAACTACTAACAAACTGTAGCGCCACATTTGTCCATAGGAGGAAGTTTTTTGGGATATTCAGCGTAACCAAGAAGAAATCCAACCACTGCAACATAGGCAGAGGTGTGCTATAAGAAAAGAATAGGGTACAATATATTACACACCCCGAACATTACAACTACATCTACATTACAAGATGACGAATTGATATTTTGTAGTCGTTAATGATCAAATTGCAACTTTTTCCTTTGAATGGTAGGGATTCACTTTTACACTACAGCTTCCATCTATTGTGTCTAACCACTACTAATAGTTTTTTCTTGGAAGATTTTCATTGCTTTAAAATTCAGAGTTCTTCTTAGAGGTATCAAAGTATTGCTCAAGAATGGTTTTTCTAAGTACCGCCTTTCGTAGTCGGACAGTTGCATATTGCTTTGTTATATCTGTCTCATCTGCACATTGTCACAACACTAGACGTCGTCTGTTAATAGTCCTATTTTTTTAACTGATACTATGATAGAGCATATAAAACCTCATTTTAGTCCTTTTCTGAAAAGTAGAACTTTCTCCATTGATTAAGGTTTTTAGTTGAGATAAAAAAGTCAGCGTCACGAGCGGGATTCGAACCCACGATATTCGGCTAGATACGCCGCTGCTTTACCACTTGAGCTATCGTCACCTCGATCCACTCGGACATCAACTTCCTATCTCAACCCCACCTTTCGAATTTTCCCTCCTTTTTGCCATTTTTCAAATGTCGTGTAATCTATTTGATCCTCGGCGACAAATGAAATGGTCACGGGGAGTTTTAGTGAAGGCATACTTCATTTAAACTTATTAAATTCACTGGTTTCGTGATCCGTAGAGTATGCCTTCACTAAAGCTTGGAGAGCCCTTAGAAATGATCTCGTGTGCACATGTTGCTATAGTTTTTCTGCTTAAAAATAGTTAGAATGGAGACCAGGGCCATACGGTCGTTGTTGTTGGGCACTTTTATGCCATGATTAACACTTACTAAAAAGCTTCGATGAATTTTCCGTGGCGTTGTTCCGAGGCTCCCTTTTTGGAAAGGTGTCCCACTGCCTTGTTGCCTGAAATTCTCTCATTACCTGGGATGTACCTCAGCGTTAAGCTTTTTGTACATTCTAATTTTTTTATGGTGTTTAATCAGTTCCAGATTTGTTCGAGGTTGATTTCGTAGACATGAAGGCATCCACTACCTTCGGCTTTAAAAATGGTTGAGGTAGAGCCCAGGGCCATGTGGTGCTCATAGTTAGGCCTCTTTCAACCATGATTAATACGTTTTTGAAATTCTTTGGTGAATTTTCCCCGTTATACAGAATAATCTAGAACAAACAGCCGGAATAAATTATAAAATAAATATGAAAAACGACGAAAGGCATTTGTATATTACGCAAAACCAAACCAAGTTGGATTTGTTAAAATGAAATATTAGTCATTTTCTGCTTCTTCAAATCTCACTGGATATTTATCTTTATATCTAGACGCATCTTGTGTAAGGCGATACAAACATTGACTCAACGTGACATTTCAAACCACCTTGAACCCACAAATCGTCTACGCTGAGATTTTCTTGGGCATCTGTATCGATCTTACCCGCAACCCTAAACGTTAATAAACAGGAATTTAATTTTAGATATGAATTGCTTATAAACCTACAATTTAGATATGAAACGTTCGTTTTTATTGAACGTTAATCGATATCACGCACGCTGATTTGTCTAACAATTGAAAATTAAATTCCAAAAGTCCAGTCATACTTAACAGTGGATAGGTTAACCATGGGAATGTTAATTAATCCGAAATCAATGGAATAATGTTAGCCGATTGTTTTCTTATCACCTATTGATTTCAGAGATTTGATGTGCCACATTTTCCATTAAGTTGAACAAATGTGATAGTAGTTATTAGCTTTGTTGTTGATTAAAGGAAAACAGACCCGGAGGAAAGGCTGAATGAAAAACCATCCTTTCCTCGTCGAGTCGGCTTTTCCGAGATCAGAATCTAGTGGTTTTTGTATTCCGTTTAAGGCGAGACTGTTGTAGAAACAACCGGTTGTAAATTGCATAAAAGGAAATGAGCATGTTGCGGTATCGCCCATTAGTTCCACCTTCTTACATTAGTTTTAAACCCGTTACAAGTAATTTACTCTAGAGGAATAAATTCACGTAGGCAGAATTATGCGTACTCACTTCGGCTTGGAAACCGATAAGGAGAAAAAATAAGCCATTCGTAAAATTTTAGCTACGCCTCGTTACCGGGTTTCCATTAACCTTTTTCATATCGCGACTCCATTTCTAGCTCATTCCGTCTGTCCACTATCCTCGTAAATTTGATTTCTCTCATAGTTTCGCTAAACAGAGGAAGTTCATGGGTCATTACACCACTAAAGATTTCTAAAATCCGTTGGTAATTTTCATAATTTGTTTATTAAGTTAAAACGGCCAAAATCAACCGTATGACATTTATTCATTTTATATTATAAGATTATAAGAATGGAGGTGTAATCCATTAATTGCACTTTAAATGTCTTGGAGGATCGTCAGGAAGGTTTGGGATAAAGGTATTCGACTAGGACGACGGGGTGATCAAGGTGAAGGTCCAAAGGTTTTATGATGTCGTCTGTACCGACGTCTCGCACTTTTGAGGACCAATTGGATTTGAAGGTCTATATGGATAAGGTTGGATACGAAGTTGGGAGCTTGGGGAATGGATGTTGGACTGGAGTGCCTGTTTTCTCTAGAATGTGGATCGCTGTGTTGAACACTAAATTTCATTTCCGTCCAGATTGGTTGTAGCTGTATTGTGTTTGTTGTAAAAGTTTCGTTCTGTTGTTTTTTCAGTCTATCGTGGGATTTCAAGTCTTTTGTCGTTGTAAAGTCCCACTGACTGGGAGAAAACCTGGTAGGTTTCGTTAAGTCTGATCCTCCTTTTCTTGAGCCATTCTTCTAAACAAGAGAAATGGTCTTGGAGGTTTTTGAAATCCACTGGGTCTGGGTTTGCTTAAAGGATGGCGGTATGGTCAGCATATGTGAGAAGTACTGTGTATGAAAGGAATGTCTACAGTCTATACTGAACAGAATCATGAACATATAACCTAACCTAGCCTAACCCGTCCAATGCGCACTCACCAGTATTGTGAAAAATGGTTCGAATGATTATGGACCGGAGTGACTGGATTAGGCGTAGGTTGGAACGCTTGTTTCTATCGCCTGGAAAGCATATATGCTGGAAAACCATCTCACTAAAAAGGATATCGTGAGAACATTTGAGCTTTAGGCGTCTTAGAGTCAGGAAAAGTTCAGGATGAAAGGTGTTGAACTGGGAGGAATGAGGGTCCAAGGTATCCAAGGTATGGTAAGGTTGGATACAAAGTAGGAGCTTGAGGAATAGTTGGAGTGGACAGGCTATATTCTTTGGAGGTTAGAACGCCTGGATAAACCCCACAGTTCAATTCCGCCACGATTGGTTGAAGTTGTATTGTGTTTGTAATGAATGTTTCGCTCTTTTGTCTTTTCAATCTGTTGTGGGGGTTCGAAGTCTTTTGTCGATGTAAATCCCACTGGCTGGGAGAGAGCCAGGTTGGTTTCGTTAAGTCGGATCCTACTTTTCTTGAACCATTCTTCCGAACAGGAGAGATGGACTTGCAGCTATTACAAAAAATTGGTTGAAATGGACTGGATTATTATGTATGAAATGTGTTGAACAAGGAGAGATGAGGGTCAAGGGTATCAATGGGATTTGAAAGTCTATGTGGATAATAAGATAGATTATTATGGCGATGGTGAGGATACTAGGAAACGGGGGTTTTCATCACCATCACCATCAAGATAGGATGCAAAGTGTGAGCTTGAACATGGTTTGAATGATTTTGGATTGGAGTTGACTCACAGTTTAATTCTGTACGTCCAGATTTGTACTAATTATAAGTAGATGAGGCGATTTTATGTAGTGTAAATCGTGATATGTTGTTAAGTAATCTTTTGATTAGTTTATATCGTCTGTCCAGTTTTGCGTAGAGAGAGCTCCAAGAAAGCCATTGTCAATGTAATGACCAAAATAGTGGATGACGTTAGTTGCTTGGAAAGGAACAGAGTTT